CCTTTTTTTTTGGGTCTGGTCATGGGGCCTGAACTCTGGGCCTGGGCGTTGTCCCTCAGCTCTTCAGCTCAAGGCTAGCGCTCTACCACTTGAGCCATAGCGCCACTTCTGGCTTTTTTCTTTTTGCTTATGTGGTGCTGGGGAATCGAATCCAAGTTCTCAGGCATGCAAGGCAAGTGCTCTACCACTGAGCCACCTTCCTAGCCCCCAGATCTCAGCCTTTCAAGTATTTGAGATTATGGGAGTGAGCCTTGGGTACCTGGCTGAAAATTTTTATTTTATTTTTCATGCCAACACCAGGGTTTGAACACAGGGCCTTGAAGTCTTGCCTGTGTTCCTAGCTACTTGGAGACCTTAGGTAGAAAGATTGAGGTCTAACCTGGCCCAGGTAAAAACATGAATCTCTACCTGAAAAATATAAACAACAGAAAGGGCTGAGGGTGTGGCTTAAGTAGCAAAGTGCTGGCCCAGTGAGTGCACAGACTGGAGTTCACCTCCCAGTAGTGTTAAAAGAAAAAAAAGAAAACACCAGAAACAAAGGAGATACTATGCTGCAAATTCTATTAATTCTTGTGTGTGTGTGTGTGTGTGTGTGTGTGTGTGTGTGAGAGTGAGAGAGAGAGAGAGAGAGAGAGAGAGAGAGAGTTCTGGGGCTTGAACTCAGTGCCTGGGCACTATTCCTGGACTTTTGTTCAAGGCTAATGCTCTTATCATTTCAGCAACAACTACTTAAGGCTTTTTAGTGGCTAATTGGAGGTGAGAGTTTCACAGAAGCCAATGGCAAGTGGCTCAACCTGTTACCCTAGCTACTCAGGAAACTGAGATCTGAGGATTGAGTTTCAAAGCCAGCCTTGGCAGGAAAGTCTGTGAGACTCTTATCTCTAATTAACCACCAGAAAACCAGAAGTGGTGCTGTGGCTCAAGTGGAAGAGTGCTTGCTTTGAGCTCAGAAACAGCCCCCTGGGCCAGAGTTCAAGCCCACGACCAAAAAATAAACAAACAACTTATGCATATGCACGTGCACACACACAGACACACACACACACAGACACACACACATACAGAGACACACACACACAGACACACACACACACACAGCCTCCTGAGTAGTTAGGATTACAGGTATGAGCCACCAGAGCCTGTCAGCTCCGCAACATGTTTTTTTTTTTTTTTGTCTTGTCAGTCGTGGGGCCTGAATCTGGACCTGGGCGCTGTCCCACAGCTCTTCAGCTTAAGGCTAGTACTCTACCACTTGAGCCACAGCACCACTTCTGGCTTTTTCTGCTTATGTGGTGCTGAGGAATCGAATCCAGGGCCTCATGTGAGGCAAGCGCTCTACCTCTGAGCCACCTTCCCAGCCTCAGCAACATCTTTTAATGTCACAATAAGGTGCTTATAGATTTACAATTCCCAAGTCCCACTGACTCCTCGAATCTATTGAGTATTGACTTTCTCCCAAGCAATCCAGCCATCTGTGGTGGAAGGCAGGGGTGCCAAAGCTTTCATTGATGGCATTTAGTTAATAAGTGTGCTATTCTTGGAAGTTTTGTTGGCACTTGTCCACCATCAATATTTTTCTTGTAGTGAAAACATTCCTTGTCATCATGGACACTTTTTCTGCCCCACCAGAAGTTTCAATGACATGAATTCCATCCTCCATGCTTGCCATTGCCTCCTCTCCTATCACTATGAGCAGTATTGTCCCAGCATGTGTTATAGCAGGCGCTCTACCACCAAGACATGCCTTCCACCTCTAGCATATTTTTTTGGGGGGGAGGGTCAGTCATGGGACCTGAACTCTGGGCCTGGGCGCTGTCCCTCAGCTCTTCAGCTCAAGGCTAGTGCTCTACCACTTGAGCCACAGTGCCACTTCCAGTTTTCTGGTGATTAATTGGAGATAAGAGTCTTATGGACTTTCCTGTCAGAGCTGGCTCTGAACCACGATCATCAGATCTCAGCCTCCTGAGTAGCTAGGATTTCAGGTGTGAGCCACTGATGCCTGGCTGCATAGGTTTTTTTTGTTTTTGTTTTTGTTTTCAAGTCCTGGGCTGAACTCAAGGCCTGGGCACTGTCCCTGAGCTTCTTTTGCTTAAGGCTAGCACTCTACCACTTGAGCCACAGCACCACTTCCAGCTTTTTCTGTGTATGTGGTACTGAGAAATCGAACCCAGGGCTTCATGCATGCTAGGCAAGCACTCTACCACTAAGCCCCATTCCCAGCTCCTGATTCAGGTTTTTATATCTTGTTTAACTTGTTGCTGTACTTCTGCAGCTTCTCGAAAATGATTTCGCTCTCTTCACTATCTGGATCTCAAGCTTGCTTTGCTTCTCTTGTGCTTCTCCTAGCAGCTGTTCCCCAGTCTTGTGTGGGTGGATACTCACATTTCACTCCTTGGGAGAGGATCCAAGTCACATATCAGAACATAGGGAGTGTCTGTCTGAACTTTTTGGGCCTCTCTTTCAGTTGTCCCATCTCCATCACAATCTCCTTCATCACCACTAGTGCTTGTCTTTCCAGATGTCTTCATACCTCTTCCACTGAGGATCTTGATTGTTTGTATATTTAGGTCTTGCTGTTTAGCTAGACTGACTTCCAACTCCTGATCCTCCTGCTTTACTATCCTGAGAGTAGGATTCCAGGTGTGTAGAACCACGCCTGGCTTAGGCTTCTAATTCACTATCAGACTCCTAGGCACTGCTGCAGCAGCTCATTTACTATTGTTTCTTTTTTCTTTGCTGCTTTCTCAGCCTTAGAGGCAATTCCTTCTTCCCCGTCCTCTGTATCCAGGTCATCATTCAGGTGGCTTCTTGAAGCTACTGCCTCTTCTAGCCTGCAATGTTGCCCAATAACAGAATTTTATCTATCTATCTATCTATCTATCTATCTATCTATCTATCTATCTATCTATCTATCTATCTATCTACCTATTTGCCAGGCCTGGGGCTTGAACTCATGGCCTAGGCATCACTGTCCCTGAGCTCCTTTGTGCTCAAGGCTAGTCTCTACCATTTGAGCCACAGTGCCAATTCTGGCTCTTTATGTAGTTTATTGAAAATAAGAGTCTCATGGAAGCAGGCACTGATGGCTTATGCATGTAATCTTAGCTACTTAGAAGGGTGAGATCTGAGGAGCAGTTTGAAGCAAGTCTGGGCAGGAAACTTTGTGAGACACCTATTTCCAGTTAATCCAGAAAAAGCCAGAAGTAGCACTGTGCCTCAAGTGACAGAATTCTAGCCTTGACCAAAAGGAACTCAGGGGCAGTGCCCAGGCCCAGAGTTCAAACCCTAGGACCTGAAAAAAAAAAGTGTCTCAAGGACTTTACTGTCTGGGCTAGCTTTGAACCGTGATCCTCAGATCTCACTCTCTTGACTAGCAATGATTATTGGTGTGAGCCCCCGGGCGCCAAGCAAGAAGTATGCATCTACTTCATACTAGGCTCCAAAGAAAACATAGAACACTTAGTCCCAGGACCAGAAAAAAAAAAGTGAAGCTGGATGTTAGCAGCTTGTGCTTGTAATCCTAGCTGCTCAGGAGGCTGAGATCTGAGGATTGCAGTTCAAAACCAACCTGGGTAGGAAAGTGCATATATTTCATGTTAATCACCAAAAAGCCAGAAGTGGAGTTGTGGCTAAAGTGGTAGAATGCTAGCACAAAAGCTCAGGGACAGTACCCAGGTCCTGAATTCAAGCCCCAGGACTGGCACACTAACATACATATGCACACACATATACACAATAAAACAAACAAACAAATATTAGTTAAGAATAGGCTAAGCCGGACACCAGTGGCTCATGCCTGTAATCCTAGCTACTGAGGAGGCTGAAATCTGAGGATCATGGTTCAAAGCCAGCCCAGATTGGAAAGTCCCTGAGACTTTTACCACCAGTTAAACATCAGAAAACTGGAAATGGTGCTGTAGCTCAAGTGATAGAGCGCTTGCCTTAAGCTGAAGAGCTCAAGGACAGCACCCAAGCCCAGAGTTCAAGCCCCATGACTGACCAAAAAAAAAGAAAAAAGAACTATAGAAATGACTAGGGTTGGTGTTACAAACCTGTAGTCCAGTTAGTTACTCAGGAAGAAGCTGAGGTTGGAGGGTGGATTGTGCTCAGGAATTAGAGGCCAACCTACACAGACACAGCATAACAAGATCTTAGCTCAAAGAACAACAAAAACAGCCGGGCGCTGGTGGCTCACGCCTGTAATCCTAGCTACTCAGGAGGCTGAGATCTGAGGATCTTGGTTCAAAGCCAGCCCAGGCAGGAGAGACTGTGAGACTCCTATCTCGAATAAACCACCAGAAAACCGGAAAAAAAAAACCGACAAAAAAAAAAAGAACAACAAAAACAATAAAAAATGCATGTAACTCCATAAATCAGACCATTTTATTTTTTTATTTTATTTATTTATTTATTTTGGTCGGTCGTGGGCCTTGAACTCTGGGCCTGGGCGCTGTCCCTCAGTTCTTCAGCTCAAGGCAAGCTCTCTACCACTTGAGCTACAACGCCACTTCCAGTTTTCTGGTGGTTTTTTTTTTTTTTTGACGGTCGTGGGGCTTGAACTCCAGGCCTGGGCGCTGTCCCTCAGCTCTTCAGCTCAAGGCAAGCGCTCTACCACTTGAACTACAGCGCCACTTCCGGTTTTTTGGTGGTTTATTGGAGATAGGAGTCTCACGGTCTCTCCTGCCTGGGCTGGCTTTGAACCGCGATCCTCAGATCTCAGCCTCCTGAGTAGCTAGGATTACAGGTGTGAGCCACCGGCGCCCGGCTCAGACCATTTTAGTTTTCCACTGAAACCCTCCAGTGTGGAATAAAATGTGTTATCTTTCCCTGCCTTCTGGGGCTTACATTATCTTTCTTCTGTGACCTTTCTGGTTTTCTGCCCACACTGCCCACTCCAGTTGCCCACACTGGATATTCATTATATAACGTAGGCTGGCCTTGAATCTGAGAGTCTCCAACTCTCCCCTTCCTTAGTGCTGAGACTATAAGGGTGCACAGCCATGCCTGATATCTATGCTGAGGCTTTAATGGTAAGCAATTCAGTACCTACTTTAACAGAGGGAGCTCCCTGAGATGCCTACTCTCCAGGCTTTGTCCTCAAAGGACTTGCCACTTGGGAAGGGCCTAGTGCCTATCCCTCTTTCTCAAGAGGAACTCCCTTTTTTATTCATTTAATAAATTCTTCATAGTACCAGGTTCTAGAAGATAGAGTTCCTGCTTCAGAGAAGCCTCCATATTCTAGGATGGCAGGTGCTAATGGAGTTTAGGGTAGGAAACAGAAAGTGCTTGTGGCAATGGGTGCTACAAAGGAATTAATATGATAATATGGGAGAACCATTCAACTTTCACCTACAATTTGAACAGACTGTTTACACAATCAGGTTAAAAAATAGATAAAAATAAAGCTGGGTGCTTGTGGTTCACACATGTAATCCTAGCTACTTAGGAGGCTGAGATCTGAGGATCATGGTTCAAAGCCAGCCCAAGCAGGAAAAGTCCGTGAGACTCTTATCTTGAATAAACCACTCAGAAAACCAGAAGTGACATTGTGGCTCTAGTGGTATACCTCTAGCCTTGAGCTGAATTGTTGAGGGACAGCACCCAAGCCCAGAGTTCCAGCCCCCACATATGACCAAAAACAACAATAACAACAAAATTATCTATCTATCTGGCTATCTATCTATCTATCTATCTATCTATCTATCTATCTATCTATCTATCTATCTATCTATCTATCTATCTATCTATCTATCTATCTATCTGAGGGCAGGTGTGGTGATACTTGCCTATAATCACAGCCTTCTGAGCACTTTAGAGCCTAGGGCAGGGAATTCAGAAGTGCAGCTTGGCCTGTTAGGTGCTGGTAGCTTGTCTGTAATCCTTGCTCAGCAGGAGGTTGAGATTTGAAGGCTGCAGTTCAAAGCCAACCCTGGGGTAGGAAAGTCTGTGAGACCTTGAAAGTAACCACAAAAAGCTAGAGCTGTGGCTCAAGTGGTAGAGTGCTAGCCTTGAGCAAAAAAGCTTAGAGACAGTGCTCGTGTCCAGAGCTCAAGCCCCAGGACTGTCAAAAAAAAAGTTCAGGGTTGGGAAGGTGGCTCAGTGGTAGAGTGCTTGCCTTGTATGCATGAGGCCCTGGGTTTGAGTCCTCAGCACCACATAAGCAGAAAAAGCCAGAAATGACATTGTGGCTCAAATGGTAGAGTGCTAGCCTTGAGCTGAAGAGCTGAGGGACAGTGCCCAGGCCCAGAGTTTAGACCCATAACTGACAAAAGAAAAAAGAAAAACAAAAAGCTAGCATAAGGGAAGTAGCTGCTAACCTTTAAGGCAATGATTCTGGGCAGCCAAGATGAATAATTATTCTGTTTTTTGTTTGTTTATTTGTTTTTTTGGTCCCATCATGGGGCCTGAACTCTGGGCCTGGGCGCTGTTCCTCAGCTCTTCAGCTCAAGGTTAGTGCTCTACCACTTGAGCCACAGCACCACTTCTGGCTTTTTTCTTTTTGCTTATGTGGTGCTGAGGAATCGAACCCAGGGCCTCATGCATGCAAGGCAAGCGCTCTACCACTGAGCCAACTTCCCAGCCCCTGAATAATTATTCTAAAATATGGCATGTCTCTGGGCCTACCCAAAATATAAGGACAATAGGTGAGCTTTAAGCCTTCCTTTCCTCAGATAAACCTCTCACTCTGTTGTCTCTACCCAACTTTTTACCATTTCAAAGGTGAGAGCACACATTAATTTATTTGTTTATTTATTTTTGTTCATCCTGGGGTTTGAACTCTGCACCTGGGTGCTGTCCCTGAGATTTTTTTTTTTTTTTGTATGGGGTCTGAACTCTGGGCCTGGGCACTGTCCCTCAGCTCTTCAGCTCAAAGCTAGCGCTCTACCACTTGAGCCACAGTACCACTCCCAGCTTTTTCTGCTTATGTGGAACTGAGAATCAAACCCAGGGCCTCATGCATGCATGCATTCTACCACTGAGCCACCTTCCCAGCCCATGTGCTAGCTCAAGGCTAGCACTTTACCACTTGAACTACAGCTCTACTTTCAGCTTTTTTTTTTTTTTTTTAGTTTAGTGGAGATAAGAGTCTCAAAATGGGCTGGAAGGTGGCTCAGTGGTAGAGTGCTTGCCTTGTATGCCTGAGGCCCTGGGTTCGATTCCTCAGTACCACATAAGCAGAAAAAGCTGGAAGTGGTAGAACACTAGCCTTGAGCTGAAGAACTGAGGGACAGTTCAGGTCCCACAACCGACACCTCCCCCACCCCTCCAAAAAAGAAAAGACTCTCATAGACTTTCCTTCCTAAGTTAACTTGGAACCATGATTCTTAGATCTCAGCATCCTGAGTAAATATGATTACAACTGTGAGCCACTGGTGCCCAGCAAGGGTAAGTGTAGATAGTCCCAAGGTTTTTAGATAGTCTCCAAGGTCTTGCAACTAAGCATTTAAACAGGGGGAAGCTTAACTGCTCTGTTGCTTCCCAGTTCCAACTTGAATCTGGTCTTTTTTTTTGTCAGTCCTGGGGCTTGAACTCTGGTCTTGGGCCCTGTCCCTGCGCTCTTCAGCTCAAGGCGAGTGCTCTACTGCTTGAGCCACAGCACCACTTCTGGTTTTCTAGTGGTTTATTAGAGAGAAGAGCCTTTCAGACTTTCTTGCCCAGGCTGGCTTTGAACTGTGATCCTCAGATTTCAGCCTCCTGAGTAGCTGAGATTACAGGCGTGAGCCACCAGCACCTGGTTGGTCCTTTTTATTTCATTTAATTTTCTAGTCTCCTTAGCTATCTCTCTTGCCACAGTTTGCCTCCCACCGGGCTATCTCAGTACTATACTTCTTTTTTTTTTTTTTGGGTCCGGTCATGGGGCCTCTACTCTGGGCCTGGGCCTCAGCTCTTCAGCTCAAGGCTAGTGCTCTACCACTTGAGCCGCAGCGTCACTTCCAGATTTTTTCTTTTTGCTTATGTGGTGCAGAGGAATTGAACCCAGGGCCTCATGCATGCAAGGCAAGCGCTCTACCACTGAATTACCTTCCCAGCCCAGTACTATACTTCTATGCCTCCCATCCTCTACTAACATCCCAGCCTTACCTGGGATGGGAGGAAGGGAATTGGTACAGTGAATTGTGGTGCCAGACTGCCTGGGCATATTGTTTCATAAGCCTGTTTTCTCATCTGCCTAGCTGGGTAGTAACAGGACCTACTTCCTAGGATTATCTTGAGGATTAAATGAGACAGTCCACAGAAAAGTACATATTATGTTAAGCAATGAGTCTTGTCAACTCCCACGATTACTGCTGTCACTAGGTATAGGAGGCCAGTTCTAGAGGAATAGCTGTGTCTTTTCCCCGGGCCCCTGTAGAGGAACTCCTTCTTGTTGAATCAGGACTTCAGATTCTTGGTTTAAGAGCTTGAGCTTTCTGTAGGCTGGGCAGCTCCCCTCTTTCCTTCCTTTGCCCTTCCCCTCTCCTATCCCTTGGGAGTGAACTGGTTTCCTCTGGGAGCTCTGCCTGCCTGGGGTTTGGTGGGAAGCCAGGCCTGTGGGTGTGTGGGGGAGGCCAATTTCTGAGCCACAACAGAGAGGTATCAGCTGACCAAGTGGGGGAGGAAAGAATTCCTCCAGCTATTTGTTCCTAGGGATTCTGGCAGGGGTACAGTTGATCGGCACCGCCAGTATGTGTGATCACAGGTCATCACCACATGCACATGTAGACACACACCTGTGTGCTCACACACCAAGTGCCACTTATGCTCTGCATCTTTTTTTTTTTTTTTTTTTGCTCTGCATCTTTCTTGCTCGGCATACAGAGCCCCTCTCCCCTTCTCTCCATTCTACTCAAACAGAACAGTGCCCCAGGGGAGGAGCTTTTTATCAGGGCTTTTTCTCATGGGCTTGGGGCCTCTTTAAAGCAGGGCAGTACGTGGGGGGACTTTTGATTTGGTTTCTGGCTTTGGTTCTGGGAAAGAGCCTCACTTTCCTTGGGTTTTGTCTTTTTGCCTGATTGGGCCTCTCCCTTTTCTACCATGTGAGGAAAGCTTCCAGTAGCCAAGTAGGATGTGGTTCCCACCCCAGGCAGTCAGCCCTACAGTTGTATGTGTGTGTGTGTGTGGGCAGGTTGTGGGGCTTGAGGTCAGGGCCTGGGCGCTGTCCCTAAGCTTTTGTGATCAAGGCTAGCACTCTACCATTTGAGCCACTGCTCTATTTCTGGCTTTGATGGCTAACTGAAGAGTCTCATGGACTTTCCTGCCACTGATGCCTGCTTCTCCCACCCTCCCCACCCCCCCTTGGTGCCACCACGTTCCAGAACTACTGTCCAAGTACAGAGGGTGAGAGCTCAGAGCCTTGGGTACTAGGGATCCGGTCACGCCTAGAACTCAAACCTAAGGCCTCCTTTTCTTACTCCGTGCTGTTAACACTTCTGACCCCCGCCCCCAGGTGACCCAGCACCCTATCCTCCGGTTCCAGTCTAGCTACTCTCAGCTTCCAGCTCCAGTCTGTGGCCCCGTCCCAGCGATCCCCGCCCATCGAGGCCACGCCCACCAAGACCACGCCCCTAGCTGCCACGGGTAGGGTGGCTGCTGGCCCAGCCGGGCCGGCGCTGCCCTCTGGCCGGGGTACGCGGTGGGAGCGGCCGGGCACGGCGGGACTGGACGATCGAGGCGGCCCGGGGGCTCGAGGCGA